AGAAAGAAAGAAAGTAAAGAAAGAAAGAAAGTAAAGAAAGAAAGAAAGAAAGAAAGAAAGAAGAAAGAAAGAAAGAAAGAAAGAAAGAAAGAAAGAAAGAAAGAAAGAGAAAGAATTTTGCAATAGTTTGGTGTGTTTACAGGGAGTCCATTCAACTGTCTCTTTATGATAATCACGTAAGCTGGTATCCAAGAAACAAAAAAAGAACAGAAAGAAGCCATATAGTGCATTTATTTTTAATTAGCACCTCTTGGGGTGAAAACAATTAACTAAAATCAATTATGATTTGTTGTTCCTTATTATAAAGAAATGTTGGGCAACATGTTGTGTCATCATCTGGGAAATGAGATTCCACCCTCCAACCTTTTCGTTTTTCTTTCTGGTATATGTAACATAAGACCTTTAAGATTTATTTTTCTGTCAAAAGACAGTTTCACACAGCTATGTCTCCGTGATCTGTGGAACTGCATCCTCCCAGTGAAGACTATACAAACATCTAAAAATCCAATGTGGGAGTTATGGGGGGGAAGAGGAGGGAGGCAGGAGGGAGAAGGGCAAAGAAATCAAACTCCAAAATTTAGCAAGAAACAATAGCGAGGGCATATGAGTGTTTTAAATCCTGCATTGCCAAAGCTTAACTCTAAAAACGTCTGCAGTTAGCTCTATAAAAGTCCTTGGCTTGGGGATAAGAAAGAAGAACATCATTACTAAGGAACGACAATGGTGAAGCATGAACTGACTATGGCTCTTTGAATGTATATACTCAATGTTATCGCTTGTCACATAATTACTGTTGTGCCAGAGGGAAAAATAAATAAAAGGGAATTGAGAATGTTTGGAGTGAAAAAAAATGTATCTAGAAGAAGTACTATATGAACCCATCCACTTATACTTCCACCTCAAGGCCAGATTCTGAGTACTCACACCGAGTAAATAGCACCTTACTCCACAGAGTGTTTCTGTTGAAATCAATGGAACTATTGGTGGAATAAGGTGTTACTCAATGTAACGACATCAGAATCTGTTCCTGTGATTCCTGAACTGTCAACATAATCAATACTCTTTGGGGAACAAACAAGCAAGTGTGATGTCTTACCCATCATAAAGGTTACAAGACTCTATACAGGTCCTTCCTCTGCTGAAGCGTTTGCAGGACAGACACTGGTCTGGCCCTGGCCCCCAACAGCCGTCACTTGAGCACAAGTTGTTACACACCTTTCCCTCTGCAGCTGAAAACAGAGAGAGGAACGAAGATATTTTTAGTGTCATTAGCTATTAGATTGCGAGTATTACTTTCTAACACACCAGAAGGCAAATCCTTCTCCCAGCATCTGGACACAAAGAAGCTACTACCCACAGAACGGCCTCTTCCCCTCCCTGCCTCAGAGCAAGGAGGGATTCAGTGGTCTCCACAGCACAGCCCATGCATGGGAAGCAGAAAGACTGGAGTGATCAGCCCTTAACTTCCTAGACACCCATTGTAAATATTTTCCCCTTTCCCATTTCTTGCTGATGAATCCTCATGGGCATTTGCCAGCAGGGGGAGATTTAGCAGAACAGTTACATTGACGGGCCCTGTCGATTTGGGGGGATTACAAGCATAGGAGGGGAGGGGTGATATGTCCTCTCCTATAAAGCCTTTAGGCTGGGATTTGCAGAAGCATTCAATGTTTGCCTAACTCAATTTCAAGACAAGTAGGATTGACTTCTATTAGTGTGGGGCTCAGCCAACGCTGGACTCTTCTAAGAAATGCTTGCTTGACTTGGGGGTCAACAGGAATTTATTTTTCAGGGGCCTTTATCCAAAATGAAATCCCTGTGGTGTGTTACAAGAAATCCATCACAGAACGTATGTTCTGAAAACAGCAATGAAATAACTTAATTAGACCTGACTGAGCTCAGAGCAGTGCAAGCAGTTTTGGCCATTTCATTATTGTTTATCTGTGTACTATGGTAGCTCCCAGGGACCAACTGAAAACAGGGCTCCAGTCGTGAAATAAGAGACAGCCCCAGCCCCAAAGAGCTTACAGTCTAAGCAGAGAAGACAAAGGATAGGGACAGGGGATTAACATACAGGCAGACTGACCAATGTGAAGACAGCAAGGAGCATATTAGTGTGGAGCCTTTGTTCTTTTTCTTTTGTTATTTAAACCCTTTCTGTGGAGTTATGTTAGGAGAGGAGGAGTCAGACAGAAAGACAAAGGAAGGGAGTGGTGAGAGGTGTTGGAGCAAGCAGCAAATCAGTACTGCAGAGAGAACGCAGGCTCTCAGCCATTCCATGCCGGCTCAGTTTATACTGATTAGACCAGCCCCTGATACCTGACGGAGGTAAGATGACCAGACATCAAGTGTGAAAAATCGGGACAGGGGGTGGGAGGTAATAGGAGCCTATGTAAGAAAAAGACCCCAAAATCGGGACTGTCCCTATAAAATCGGGACATCTGGTCACCCCTAGACAGAGGAGGCTATCATTCTCCCAGATGTGTGTTTTTTATGTCAATTGGTGCCATGTGATAGACTGTGCAAATTAAAAAGCAAAGAGCTCTCTTTTAAATGTTCTGTCACAATTAGCAAGTAGTAAGACCCATGATTTGATAAAAGTAAAAGAAGTGATAAATGACAAAATATGTTGTTTATTTCTTGGTAGAGTTTTACTAAATGCCATAAAAAACAGACAGTAAAAAAATGACACGTCCAATCAAAAACATACACATATTATAGGTACAGAATAACACCATCTATATACACAGATTCACACAGTGGTGATAGCAAAATTGAAATAATTCCCCATACAGAATGCAAACACTAGTCTGGTGGTTGTGCAAACCTGTGCAAGTTACTATGGACATAGCCTATGGGTGTGTATTTTCTTGCACTTCCACAAGTGGATGATAGGTGGCAGTGTGTGGAGGTGATTAAAGAATGCCACATTTCCCTTTCAAGACAACAGATGGTGCTCTTATCGCCACTGTCAGGGTTGCAACAGTGTTGTTAAGGAAGATTGTAATGGACAGTACCAAACTGCTGAACTGCATATTGAGGTTCATCAGCTGATGAGTACAAAGCCCTCTAAAATCACCCCGCCTCTTCCCCCCAGCATTTTGTTTTTCCCTGATTATTCTTCACTGTATGGCACAATGTTCCATATTTAGTTTCTCTTGGGTGTGGAAGAATTTGTTCCATCTTCATGCCACAAGGCAGAGCGCCTCCATGTGCCTCATTAAACACTCGTTGAATATCTGTCATAGCAGCTCACTGTATAGTAAAGTGCATTGCTGCATATATCGATTCCCTCTTTAACACCAGCTAATCACCTATTTTTCATTGTGCTGCAATGTTCAATGTTGGCACAATGTTTGCCGAACACATAGTTTTGATCTGTGAGGCGTTCCTGGCTTATGTCCTCTTCTATTTGTTATGTAGTCTTTTATCATACTGTGACAGATGATATTCACGTTGCAAAGACAGGATGCATCCCTGTCATCTGCTTTGCTTGTCTGGTCCCTCCTCCATCATCAGCCAGCTTACTGCCCTCTGTATTTATAATAATAATAAATAATAATAATAATAATAATAATTAATGGAGATATCCTATCTCCTAGAACTGGAAGGGACCTTGAAAGGTCTATGCAGCACTTCTTAGGCGGGAAAATGTGCAATCACATGTTGCAAAACATGCTGCATTTTCATAGATTTTTCTTTGCTGGCCCCAGGCAAGAAGACAAACAAGTTATCTGAAAAGCCAATGACATACGCAAGGACTGCAGCTCTGAGAATCATCTTGTACCTTCCCTTTGTTCTTGCAATTGCATGCTATCCTAGTTCCTTGGCTTAAAGTTCCTTGGCAGAAGTTCTTCATTTAAATTATTTCTTTTTCCACACAAAATGTTTTTGTGGGCTTCAATGCTGAGAGAGGCTTATGGTATTTCACTTTAATCTCCTTCCAGGGACTGTGTGGAGAACTAATCAGTGAGTTGGTGTCCTCCAGCCCACGTGTACAAGCAGCTTCAAAAAGCAGGAGATTCACTGTTGCGCTACAGACATCTAGGACCAAGAACAGGCCACAGATTCATCATGTCTGGAATAGTTTGGCAACTTCCTTTAAACTTTTTAGGCTAGAAAAGAGTAAAAACATCCACATGCTAAAAAAAACCAACTAAATAGCATTTCTTTCAGAGAGTATGCTCAGGTACATAGTTCCTTCTGTTCCTCAGAGCATCAGTCAGCTACACCCAAGCACAAAGACAACTATTAAAGTTAATAATAATTCCAGATGGCTATGCAATTTTTGTTTGAACATTCTTGGCTGAAAGCCTATTTCACCTCAATTAATGGCCCTGATTCACTTCTCAGTTACACTATTGCCTACAGGATAAATGCTTTTGAAGTCAAAAGAGCCAGACTGATGTAAAGCTAGTGTGAGAGCAGATTCAGCAGATTCAACAGCATTCTATCCGTAAACCTATATTATGTCACTTGGTGCTCAAACAACTCTCTAAACTTATTTTTCTAATATCCCCAAGCAGTTTTTGATATTTCATTCAGTTTGCCTCTTAATAATCTCCTCCAAAGTCGATGGATTTACACTAGCCCTTTGTGTTTTAGGCACTGAATCGCCAGACACAAGCAAATGTCGCATGTATTGTAGACAACATGATGCTTCCTGTTACAAACATCCTTAGACATTTGGTTCGTGTTTCAGTGTCAGAGTGGAGGCCTGGACACAAACCATGACAGCTCCGAGGCTAGAGATGCCAGATTCCCTAAGCCACTACTATTGATATCTTGGCAAAAACACCATCAGCACTTCATTGCTGGATTCCCAAGGGTGAAAAATTGATCCACTGTTTTTTTACTGAGGCGTGGGCTTGGGCTGTGAGTTGGCATGATACTGATTCCCATTTGCTGATTTATGGCAACTCTCCACTGTTGAGAACAGCACTGAAAATATGAGATGCGGACTAGCTATCACTGAGTAATTCCATGTCATGTCAACCAGACTGTCCATGTGCTAGAGAGGAAATATGTGGAGATTTATGGTGCTCCTGTCAACTGACCAAGACCAATAACAAGACCAAGACCATGACCAATCTAGATAGATAGATTAGGAGGAACAGAACAGCCCACCCAGACCCACAACTGGTGATTGTGCCATCGACCTACTTAAGCTGCAAACATGCTTTAAGGTAACACTAATGAAGACAGCAGCACTCTGGCAGTCACCTCCTCATGCATAACACAAGGTGGTAGGGGGGAGATCCTAGTTAATATAGGAACAGACACTGCATAGCTCTTACTCTGGGCCAAGCATAAGGGGGAGAAAGCTGGGACCAGGGAGCCTCCACTCACCCATATGTGGCCTATATAATGCCCGAGTTGAATTGCAGTCCCAGAACTCAACATAGGGAGTCCTCCCCTTGACTACTCCCCGAGGAGCACCCACCACCCTAAAGGGAGCATCGAGAACTGGAGAGCAGGCAAAGCAGTTGGTCTGCCACAGCTACACACGAGCCAGAGGAGATGGTTGGCCACACAGGGGGAGTAATGCTGCAGCCCTTTGAGGGGCAGTAGTAGTAAGTTAGTGTAAATGACATGCATGTCCACTTTACAGTTCCTTTTCATGGCCAGAGTAGGTAACGGGGCCTTAAATGTAAACAAGAATCAGGCCCACAGTTCTTTTCTCTGCCAGTGACTATGTCTAAACCTGACCGGAAACAGCGCTCTGCCCGGAGCTTCTGAAAGTTTGACAAAGAAACAAACTGTGTTAAAGGAAGAAAAAAAAATCCTCTATTTACATAGAAAATAAACCGTTGAGTAATCTTTCATTAGGAGCCTGGTTTCCCAGTCTCTTTTGTTAAACAAAAGTTCCACAGTAATATTACTCAGTTAATTGAACAAGCAAGGAAAAAGTCAATTAGGCCTCAAAGTTTTATGAGCTTAATTGACTGAAAACACTACAAACTTGCTGCTTCTTTTCCAAACAGCTTTCAGTGAAGGGGTTCCAGCTAGGGGGAGGTTTAAATTCTTGCTCATTTACTCCGCTTTATTGCTCTCACTGATTGCTTTTCCCAGTAGCTGGGAAAAACAGCTGCAAGAATTTCCTGACCTGTTGCTTAGTCTCCTGGGAGTGGAAATCATCTCTTATGATCTGTATCATAAACAGAACTATAACGTATCATTTACAAGACTGGAGAGAGTTCTGAAAAGAATATTAACTAGGACAGGTCTA